GCGCATATTTCATATGCCCCTTGGGCTGGAGCATCCTGCCATATACTAATTTCCATATGGGTTATGCATGCTCATATGGAACCCTGGTGCCTACTCCCCAAGCCGTGCATATTTCATTTGCCCCTTGGGCTGGAGTACCCTGCCATATCCACCTGGGTCGCACATGCGCACATGTCACCCAGGATCCTGCTCCCCAAGCCGCGCATATTTCATATGCCCCTTGGGCCAGAGCATCCTTCCATCAACTAACTCAACCCATCTACCCAATCCTTATTTCATGAGGGGTCACTTCAGTCATGACATACTTGCCATTCCCTCAGTCTGGGCCAGGGATTTCATCCTGCCCCCCATTCAGTTTCTCAGTAGCCACTCTCCAGGCTACCCCTCACTTGCTCGGTCACCTTCACGGTCACGCACGACCTTGGTGGCACGGTGACCTTCATCCCCTGGGCAGCATAGTGACCTTCAGCTACAAGGTCACTTCGTGGCCTTGACGTTGATCTCACTTATGCCCTTGGCCTGGTAAGTTAGACTGAAGGGACCCCTTGCCCAATTTATAGTTTTATTAGAAATATGATTTTTTGTTTTTTGTAGAGTTAACTGTTTTTTATTATTGCATAATTAGTAAGTTTTTTGGTTTGTATGTGTTGATTTTGTATGTGCTTTTTTATTAAATGTAATTCAATTTATATCTTCTGTGTGCGGTGTGTCTTTACAAATTACATAATAATAAATCATATCTTTAAAAAACGCAAAAATAGAATTTTTTTTATGCGTTTAAATATAAATGTACTAAACGACATGTTAATATGTTGCAAACATGATGTTTACAATGACAGAACAGAAAATAAAAAAAAGATGCCACTTTACCAAGCACATCTAACATGGGAGAAAAGTGTTACCATTGTAAGGTACATTTTACTAAGGTATTCAGATGTGACCACACACTGTGCACTGGCCACAAAATAATTAGGAATTCTTTGAAAGCAATATAAATAATCAGGTGAAAATTCAATGTAGAATATGAACCTAATGCAGTGTAAAAGTCGACCAATTACTTAAATGCTAATGGGTAACCATGGCAACAGATAAACATTCTCAGAGCGTTTTTGTTTGAGTGTTTTATTTAATAACGTACCGACTGAGGTGAAAACCTTACCTAACGTAAAATGAATTACCTTTCTGAGTTTTTTCCTATCGTTTGAGATGACAACAACAAAAGGTGGGACACCTCTCTATGCATGAGGAAACAAATTTCTCACATTTGATGGGATGTTATTTTGCATGTATTCTCAGATGAGTGTGTTAAATAGCAACAATCTCTCCATGACAACGATATTAAAGCAAATGTGCAGGGCAGTGAGTGCAATTGCAATTTGTAAATTTGACAGACATTTCATGGAATATGAACATTGAATCTTTATATTTGAGATGACAAAAATCTGAAGTGTACACAATATATTAAATTTGACATTGATCTTAGATACTTTAAAACCATATGTAAAGTCATTGTTCACTAGTATTAAGTTACAATCCATTAACATTCACACATACTCAACATGCCAGTTTTGTTTGTTTTCTTGGTGAAAAATGATTGCATAGAAAGCAGCATCCCTGGACGTCCCCATCCATCATTCTGTTGATACTCTTCTCTCTCCATACCGGTGTTAACAATCTTGTTTTTTCTTTGAACCAATTTGTATTAAGCGATAGAGCGCTCAATCGTTTATAAACTCAAATACATTTCAAGTATGTTTCGGCCAGCGTTTTGTGTTCACATGGTGCAATGTACAACACTTGATTTGCTATAACTATGACGATAGGAACTGGTCCATCCATTACATTTATGTGACAGTGTTTAAAAATAGGTGCTGTTTTTCAGTGTTTGGTAGCCTTAAAATGGAAATCATTTGGCCATTTTAGATTAGATTGTGCAACAAATGCATATGCATAGTTATAACATGATTTATGATGCATTTTTAAAGTTTGAATGTTATTGGTTGAGGCATGTTAGAGATTATGGCTCTGGAACTAAATTCATTAAAACAAAATGGCCACCAATTGGCCATTTTGAATCAGATAAAAAAAAAATTACATGTATAAAGGTACCATTATGTACAGTGTACATGTATGTACAACGTTAGAACAAAATATATTCAAAATATGCAACCGAGATCCATGAAGGGAGGGAGTGAGTGAGTGAGCGAAAAAAGGTTAGGAGGAGGTAGTAGAATGACATTGTTGTCCTTGCATACTTCATTTTGATAGAATTAACATTTTTTTTACTCCAGACCACATGTGTTACATGCATTTACATATCATTGAAAGCAGACACAGCAAGGCACCGAATAATCCGTAAAGTGACTCATGTATGTGTTTTAACATCAGCTGGTGAAATCTGCAAATTAGCATAATATTATTTGAGGTGAAATGCATACACTACTGTGCTTGATCTGTTCTTATACTGTACATAGTACAATGTAGTGCTTTATATAAAATTTCATTTTATAAAAAAGTGCTTTATATTACAATATTAATGACAGATTGAAATCTAAGGATTATCCCAGTGTATGATATCACAGAGATGTCTAGTCCTGGAGTTAATAATATAATTACATTTTAAGGATACACTGGGTTCAATAATATACTTTTGACAAATTATTTCCTGTGACCATCTGTGTAAAATTGTATGGAGAATACAAAAGGTAAATAAACTACTGAATTGTGCAACCCTGTTGTATGCATTTTGATCAATATTCTGTTCAAAATGGCCACCAGTATAGAGATTACTTGTAACAAACATGATGGGAATAATACTAAATCATGGTTGCCACAGTAACAAGTTCATTTCATTTTCCCTTTTTTTAATCCTACATTTTTGTAAGTTAATATCCATATGTTCATTGATTTTAAAATATGGATTCATTATAGTTGATGCTCTTTATAAAAGCCCAACATACTCATAGGCCAGGGTCATCTACTCCTCATGACCTAAGTCTGCCACATGACCTACATACAAAAGCCTGCAGACAGATATTACATTGTAAAATGTGTTCATTTAAAAATGCATTAGATACCCTGTCAAAGTGGTTAACCCCTTTGAATACCAATAAGGGCATCAAGACAAATTCCTTAGGCATTAAGGTGATATTTCTTATTGATGCCTAGAACATGAAGTTCACGCCCAGCATGGGTTTGGCTTACATACATATAAGCAATACTATTGGAGGGGTGTTTAAAATGGAAAAAATACAATATATAGAATGACAGTTTCTATCAGCCATTTATCTCTTAAAAACACCATATCATGAATTATGGTGTATATAAAAGCACAAGCTGATAACAAAAAAGAAGAAAAAAAGATACACATCAGAGTTTCAAAGTGGTGAGATGCCATACATACAAACCAGATCTATCAGAAGTAATCAAATTTATGATTTATTTTTACAAGATTGGCAACAGATTAATTTTATCATTCATCAATAGATTAGACGGGTACTAAAAAAATGTCTTTAAGGTTCAAGTTTAATACAGTTTAATATAAAAAATGGCTATGCAAATTTATTTCCACACAAAACATTCTGAATGGTGCCAAGGAGATCAACAATAAAATAATTACCTAGATTTATCTAGGGATATTTCTATGGCAACGAAGAAGATGAAGATCCTAACATTACATTACTGTGTGATGGGAAAGCCATTTGGATTGCATTATACAATACAAGACAGTCAAGCAGCCATAGTGTTTTTTCATCGCTTGACGAGTTCACATAATATGCAAATACAGAATTCATCTTCATGGCGCAGCTGTTAATTTCATAGTATGCATATCATTTTAATAATTCATAAAATAAATAAAAATAAGTGAAATATGATGAAAATGATATACATCATGTAATATGATCACGGTAACTGTGAGAATTTTTGGTATATAAATGATTGAAGCCACTACATTTTAACTTATGTGAGATGCATAACCAAGTTCCAAAAAAAAATTCATACACAGGATACAGAAAATGTAGAAATATTCACTAGATTTTAATTTAGACCATTGAGCAATCAAGGAATTACGCAAAATATAAACATTTTTTAATAATTAAGCCTTAGAAAGTACGCCTGTGGACAATTAAGCATGCATACATGTGTATGTGCAACAGCAGATATTTGAAGAAATTAAAAATGAAATTAAATGAAATGAGCCTAATAACACCACCACTTGGATTTCCTAATTAGTAATTAAAGGTCAGGGTTTGTATATTAAAATGAACAACTGCATTTATAAGTTATATCCAACAGTAGAACAGAACAGACAGTTGCATAGTATGTATCAGAGTGCATTAACAAACTCAATTAATTACTCCAAAACCAATTAATTACAGCTGCTAGCTCTCACTTTATAGAATTGGACTTCTCATCATGATTTATGTCTAAAAAGGAGATTTTTTTTTAATATTCTCCCATATCTAAATGACTTTTGAAATAGTGCTACAGGGTTCATATCCAGAGTAAAAACTAACTCTGCTAGAGGGTCTGAATATCGTTTTCAATGGCCAGACATCCTTAGAGGTTCTGAACACTGGAGCCAATGAAGAAACAGACTTTACTAGGGGTCAGACTAGATTGATTATATACAATGTAGTCTCCAAGGTAATGAATGACTTGGCTAAGGGGTCTGACTGAGATGAATAGTCTCTACAACAATTGACTTGGCTAAAAGGTCTGGCAGATTGAATATGGTCTCTGTTATTATTTATTTATAAGTACACATTTGTTTGTTTTTTCTTCAAATAAACCATGTATAATTTGCAAATTGTTACATCAGAAAAATGTTGGAAATCAGAAAAAGTAAAAATTAGCAAACACCACCAAACTGAAATGAGTACATTAGTACAAAAGTGTGAAAATGTCTCAGAGGTACTTTTGATTGAACATATACAATAGTAAAAGTTAAACTCTTCAAAGTTTATGTGTGAATATAATGCAATCATTGTTTCAAAGTGAAAATTAAAATTCCTAACATTCAGTGAAAGAGCAATGGCATGAGAGCTTAGGATCACCAGCCAGCAGATTCTCAGCACCAATAAGTAGCAAATTTGATCCAAATTCACTCAAAAGTTTGTGAGATTTTGCTTAAACTGGTTGAAATAATTGATATGCAAATTAGCTACTTAATATGCACAGACATAGCTTCAAAACTAGCACACAGATGACAATATACAAACACAGACGTAGAAATCAATAGACCCTAGTTCATGTCTTTTGTTGTAGAAACAATGTACTTAAACCTTTGCAAAGATGTGACATGTGTCCCATACGATATATTACACATACTGTATGTACAATTTATTGTTACACAAAATTGAAACAATGGCTTTCATTATTTTCTACCAACAAGACATCAACTATACCAACTACAGAATGTCCCATTTAATACACAATTTAACATAAGTCTCTAGGAAAAAAAACCCTCACACAATCGAATCGTTTCTTGAAATGGAGATTAATCAACATACAATGTTTTCTTGACATGTTATTTCTCTGCCTCTCAATGGTAATCATAAACTCTAATACAAACCTGATATGACAATACAAGTATCCTTCGCCCGTCTCTTCATTGTTTTATAAGCGGCATCAGCAATCGCGAAGACATGCGGTGGCCTCTCGTAAAGTTCCCGTCCCTTATATTGCTGTATAGTGTCATTGTCAAATATATTCATAGTCCGGTACGGATTCACCGACACACATACCTCCCCAATGTACGTATAGATTTTACCTTTCTGGAATCTACAGATAATAAAAAAACAAAAACAAAATGTAAGCATACATGTGTACATATATAATGAGGTTATTCACAGAATACCAGAATTTACATCAAGTACATTGTACTGCAAAGATATTGTTCAAGATGTGGTTTATTCAGATTTATATTTGAGGAAATGCCAGCAGTGGTTATCAACAAGTTCCGTCAAGGTGGCAGTATCTAAGCCACTGATCTTTAAAGTTCTTGTCGTTACTACATGTACATGTTATAATATTTTCTAAAGTAACTATTGTACTATAAAGCATCATAGGTTACAAGCGAGGCGTATAATAAAAATTGGTATAATTATCCATTTAATTTTATCCAATTGACGGAAGTATTGCGGATCATATACAATCAAGTACAACCATTTGCTTTTGTATTTGAATTTTGACGATAACAAAAGATGGAAAAGGAACAATTTGGGGACAAATACAAATTGTAGGTTCTTCCACAATTTAATATTTGCCATAACCCGTATTTTATTAATTCAATTAATATTGTATTTATTTGTTAGAAAATGAAGATGAAACTATTTACCCAGGCATCTAGACCAATATTAATAGTTTCAGTAATCTGCTATTTGACCAATCAAATTTGAAATGTGATCTCAAGCGATTACCTTCATCACCGTTTTTTCGGGGTTTCAATATGCATATAAACAGCGAGAAATAACATTAACATGACAGATTTTGCACAAATGCAAATGAAACACCTAGCTCATACAGATATGTGCAATAATATTCGCTCATGCTACCAAAGACATCCCTTAATTATGAATTCCATTCATTACTTATGTAAAATGCTGCAACCAACCAATAGAGCCAAAGTGTTCAATTAGTAGCATGATATTTGAGCAAAGGTTTCTTGATTTTTCAAGGAATGAAATGTATACTAGATCAGCAAAAAAATAATTTATTAAATATAAAAACATTTCTAAAAGAATTAGTCATCAGCTCTTAAAAAATCTCACAGTCTACAGACAGTATTCCGTACATGATCATTATACAAGCATATCTGAGGTTATTTTGCGAGCGGATAATGTGACTGTGTTGGCAAATACTACGCTGTGATGCCAATATTGATAAAGATCTTGTCAGACACTCTATCAAGATCTTACGATCGCTATGGCAACATGCTTTCAACTCAAATAAAATGATCTTATCCCATTATTGAGTTCATTTATCTTAGAGTCAAAGGTCGTTAAAACATTGACATTTATAAAATTGCGTCTCATAAACTAAGTGATCACATGATCAATAAAATTGTTTCTAGTTAAATAAATATATACAATCATTTGTAAAATGGCATGTTTGCGTAATATAAAAACATAAACTATTTCTAAAACCTATCAATTGAACACTATTTCATCGATCACAATGGCTGAGCGAATGAAGACTATTGGTATTGAATTCTGCAATGGTCAATTCTTGGACCTACCAGTAACATTTCTCTCTGCAAAAAATAAATACTTTTGCTATTTAACATTTCGTACCAGTCTGCACAATGCTAATTCTAATATTTGAAATATATCTCTGAAGTGTTATGAGTAAAATCTGATGGGATATTTGCTTCACATAAATTGGGCATGATTGGAGGGGAGGCACAGAGACTCTTGGGTAATGGACATCATCAGATGGCTTCTATGGCCAATGAAAATTTCCTCTTTCGACTTTCCTAAGGGTCTCACCGGGAGAATTTCTTGATATCAATTTTCATGACATGATAATGTGAAGGCACTCGTGAAGATAAAATTAAGTGACAGTCCTTACGAGTCAAAATTCAGGAAATTTAACTCTAGCGAAAACGAATTAACTGCAAAGACAGCGAGTCTTGAGTTGTAATTTGAATATGGACAAAAACGTCTCATGATATTTAGACATATATACAGCTATAAATTGAATTTTCTCCCTGTTAACTGTATATTATTTTTACCACCCATGGCATAGCTGCTGGCACCAAAAAATGCCAAAGTCAAAACAAACACTGCTAAGAACATATCAAGGAATATTGCAATATTTCAAGGAATATTGCAATATTCCAAGCAATATTGATAGAGAGAAAGCTATTTTCATAATCAGTTTATTTCAGCGACCGCTAAAAAAGCTAAATTTCGGCATTAATTACATTGTAAATTACAATCGAGTATAAAATAATGAAAACCTTGATCTACCATGCGACAATGCATTTTACAATTGCTTCTATCGAGTATAAACTACGCAGACACCCAAGATTATCGCTTACACTTTGCATCAAGGGTCCATTCACAGTATAAAGCACTGTGTCAATGCTACTCAAGCAGCAGATAAGTATCTCAGTCTGTACTAACTCTCTGTTATAAGAGAGGAATTTGTGCATCTTTAAGACTTAGAATACTCAAAGAAAAAAAAAAACAGGATCGCCATCAAGTATGACCTTTGAATCACTTGAAGATGTTTGAAGCAGAAAATTGCCACCAGAGAGAATAATTAGGCATTAATAGTTCAACTGATAACAGTTAATCATCTGTGTAAGTTTATATATTTCATTGACGCATCACTTGTTTGTGTTCCAGTGACTTTCATCCGCTATTGTCAAATATACATGTATGCCATGATCATCATTTCACGCACTGTGGTGCTTTCACCAGTCTACCTCTCTATTTTTTTTATTTTTTTTTAAATCCTGATATTAACCCTCTGGGCTCCAAAATACTTCAGGCACCATCCACAAAAATGTTCCATTTGTAGAAAATTTTGATGAAAAATTTCAAATTTTTTTGATCAAAAAATAAAAACATTGTCACATTGTCTGTCTAGTCCAAAATTTAAATTAAATTCAGTGAAAATTAAAGGAAATGTGAACAAATTTACCCGTTTTTGAGCAAGAAAAAAATGTGGTGCTCAAAGGCTTCGTTTTCAACATAATAAAAACATCCATGCTCACAAATGTTAACCACAAGTCAGATATTTGGGAATACAGTGATCTCACATGATGTCACATACCACACCAAAATGTTCTATTTTGACAATTATGACAGCGTGCATTCAGTGTGTAGAGTCCTCATAAAATGCCCACCTTCAAATATTTTCCTAGGTTATGTGACATCAGAAAGTATAGCTACCGGTACATGTACATGTATTAGTATACTAGTACGGAACTACTTTCTGAAAGTTGACACAAGTCTGGATAGTAGAACTACACTTTAAATTCACATTTATCACTTCTCCCTTCCAAAAATGGCAGTAAAACATTTTCAAATTCTCAGTATTTTTTCCCTGCAATTCCAAAATGACAGAAAATATTTGAAGATTATGATTAAGACACAGTAATATTATGAGTGGAGTATTATTGAATTATTGCAAAAAAATAATATCGCTATGGTTTTTCAAAGTAATTAATTTACTACAGGTTTCAACCTATAATTGTAATGCAGAACAGACGATAATAAGTGTAAAATGAAAGATTAATCCATCAAGATTTAATATGCGAGAGTCAATTACTATTAATGAATAATAATAATAATTTGTGTTTCAAAATGAAAATAAGAACTACGGTACATCAATTACAACTGCTGGCTTAGAAGCTCTTAAGTAACTAGCATACTACTCAAAATGTCAGCTATATTTTCACTGCGCTGTTGTCAACATTACAATGATTAATGCAGTGGAAATCCAGCGAGGAAACCGCCACTAATCATACCTAATCAGAGCACTCTAGTTGTAGGCCATTTTCTTCAGTCAAACCATCATGTCCTTTTTTCACATAAACATCTACAAACAAATCTTCAAGTCTTCATTTTCAAAATCAATTTAATAACCAAACATTGTAACTTTATATAGTAAACAATTAGAGTGATTACAATTTTAGTAGGTATTTACTTTGTCAAATATGTATTTTTTTTAACAATATATTAAATCAAACAATGTTTAAATATAGTAATAACTGTTTATAGTTTCCAAATAGTTTTTACAGTTAGCAACACAAGAGAAACAATCATCAGTGTTTATTTTTGCACTACACATATGGATCACTAAGGGTTCACAGTTGTTCAGTTGCAGTTTGTTATAAAAACTATGTCGTAAAAATTTTGTGAACAATCAGATGCATTTGGGTCGTGCATGACAGAATCTTAGGAAAATCACTATATACATGTACATAAAAATGTTGTGATTTTAATTACACATACATATTTAGCAATATGACATCAGCGTAAGTCAGATTTTGTGGTATAATTGCGATATTTGGGTATAACTGTGATATTTGAGTATACATGTTCATGTAAGTGATATTTGGGTATAACTGGGATATATTGGGTATAACTGCAATATTTGGGTATAACTGGGATATTTGAGTATAACTGTGATATTTGGCTATAACTGGGATATTGGAGTGTAAACTGTTGGATAATGGGGTATAACTGGGATATATTGGGTATAACTGTGGAACATTATGATATAGCAATTTGACATGAGTGCAAGTCAGATTTTGTGGTATAACTGTGATATTTGGGTATAACTTGATATTTGGGTATAACTGGAATATTTGGGTATAACTGGGATATTTGGATGTAACTGGGATATTTGGGTGTAACTGGGATATTTGGGTGTAACTGGGATATTTGGGTATAACTGGGATATTTGGGTATAACTGGGATATTTGGGTATAACTGGGATATTGGAGTGTAACTGGGATATTTGGATATAACTGGGATATTTGGGTATAACTGGGATATTTGAGTATAACTGGGATATTTGAGTATAACTGTGATATTTGAGTATAACTGTGATAGTTGGGTATAACTGGGATAATTGGGTGTAACTGGGATATTTGGGTATAACTGGGATATTTGGGTATAACTGGGATATTTGGGTATAACTGGGATATTTGGTTGGATATTTGGGTATAACTGGGATATTGGAGTGTAACTGGGATATTTGAGTATAACTGTGATATTTGGGTATAACTGGGATATTTGGGTATAACTGGGATATTTGGTTATAAT